GGATGGATGGATGGATGGATGGATGGATGGATGGATGGATGGAAGGATGCATGGATGGATAGATGGACGGATGGATGGATGGATAGATGGAAGGATGCATGGATGGATGGATGGATGGATGGATGGATAGATGGAAGGATGCATGGATGGATGGATGGATGGACGGATGGATGGATGGAGAGATGGAAAGATGGTTGGATAAAGGATAGAAGGATGGTTGGTAAGGATAAGCGGGCATGTGAATGGATGAATGAGTGGCTGAGTCCATGAAAGAGGGCAGGTGATCAGATGGGTGGATGGGGGTGGAAGAGGACAAGGGACACTGAGTGGCTGGGAAGGTAGATACATGGTGGATAGCTGGGCAGATGGATAGGGAAGTAGATGGATGAAGTAGGTAGGATAGGCCAGTCTTATCCATTTTTTCCCATGTTGTCACTCAGAAAGGTAAGGCTTGGGAAGGAAACGCCTCCCTGAAGCCCCCCAGCAGTAATGGCAGAGCAGAGAGGGATGGAGGCCAGGCCTGCTATCACCTGCCTGCCTCGCGGGGCGGTCTAGAGGGGCCGAGTGACCCACTCACCTCTTTCACGGAGATGCACGTGGCCCAGATGAGTACGAACATCCTCCCGAGGAGCTGCAGCCACCCCATCTTGTGCGTCAGGGCCAAGGGGTGCGGGAGGGCCTGGGGGGATAGCAGAGGTGTGGTCGGAACAGGGAGTAAGGTGGACTGGGCTGGCACCAACTCTACAGGGACCAGAACACTCAAGCCAGGCCGGAAGCCAGCATGAAACCCGATCTCTGTACAGAGCAAGAGAAGGAGGAGCAGCTCCCTGACCCCACCCTCCCCACCCCTGATGGAAACCCGAAACTCTACAATGACGAGTATCAGCCAATCGGTGCTAACAACCCTCACACTCCATTGCAATAGCCTTTCCAGAACCCATTCATATCCAGACACTCAACACGGCCTCACCGCACCAATCAATAAAGCCGAGGCTCTGTGCCCCACGTGACGCATGGGAAGCCGAGGCCCGGCAGGCAGGGACAGCTTATCGTCCTCCCATTTCCTGCAGCCCTCACAGCAGAGACACCCAGTCAGTTCTGTATTTTGACAGAGACCCTGGGCAGGGCCTGAGTCTCCGAATTCTCCAACTTTCCCCCCAACATGGGTCTGCCTGGAACTCAGTTCCTGGGGCTTAGCCCAACTAAGCACCGAAGACTTATTCAGTCCCCTAGAAAACGTGAAGGACAACTGGGGAACCCCACCCAAATCTCCTGGCCTCTCTGGGCCTCAGTTTTCCCATCTGCACGTGGGGCAGCTCCAAGCCCCTCCAGCTCTGACCGCCCCATTTCTCCCCTCCACGGGGCCCACGTACCTCCTCCTCCCGGGGGCGGTAGTACGAGACGAGGGTCAGGGTGATGTTGTAGAAGAAGTAAAAGCAGAAGGACAGAAAGAACATGTACTTAGCAAATTTCTTCCATTTCATCCGCAGCAGCGTGTGCAGGGGCTCCAGGGTCAGCATCTCATGCCGGTTCTAGGGGTAGAATGCCACCAGTCACCATGGAGATGAGGGAGAGAAGGAGCGACCGTTTGCTAAAAGCCTGTGGGAGCTCTGAGGCAGCGCCGCCCCGGCAGAAGGGGTCCATCATTATGCCCAATGGACTGGTTTGGCTGGAAATGCTGGAAGGGCGATTTCCGGCTCCTGAGGCTCCTCCCCGCGGTACTTGGGCAGTAGTCAGAGGCCGCAGGAGCCTGGGCTTGAGGACTCGATGCACAGCAGAAAGTGGAGGATAGAAGCGGGCAGGAGGTAGTGACAGGGGTTCCAGCCCCAGTTTGCCCCTCCTTTGCTGTGTGACCTTAGGACAGCCCCTGACCCTCTCTGGGCCTCAGACTCCTCACCTATAAAACTCCTAACAATCCCTGTCCTACCAACCAGGCTGCCGTGAGGGTCCGGGAAGACCCAAGGCAAGGAGACTCTGGGAAGCATGACTCTCGGTAAAGTACGAAGGAGGAAGACCCAGCCTGCTGCCTCACTTCCCCCAAGAGCTGAACACCTCTCATAGCTGCTCCTCTCTTCACCTCCAGTTACACCAAACGCTCCCCTCCAGCCTCCTCCAGGAAGGCCTCCCTGATTGCTCCTCAGTGCACCCTCTGACCCTCATTTGGGACCAGGTTTTGGGGAAGAAAGAATTCTAAGCCTGGCCATATACACCAACAGGGGGGTGGGAGAGAAACAATACGGAAAGGATCAACCCCAACCACCCTGTCACCCACACCCACACCCAAACAGCCCCGGATACTGGGACCGGAAGACCCCCATCTGCCCCCACCACCACCACTCAGGTCCACAGTCCAAGGTCAACCAGGAAGAGGCGGGCCCAGCATCTGTCCCAGGCCTCGCCCTTTCTGTGCCTGACTCTGCCCACTGAGGCAGCAGAGTGGGGGATGCAGACACGGGGCGGGGGGTGGAGCTGGCAGCGCTGGGTCTTCCCAGCATCCTCGGAGCCCCTGGCCTGAGGTCCAGCCCTCTGTTCCCTGCCCTTCCCGGCCTGCGCAGGAGACCCACGTCGATGTTGGTGTTGTAGACGGTGATTTCCAGCACGGAGTTGTCCGTGGTGGTGTCCACGTTGGTGAGGTCGTAGAGGGAGGACGACACGGGTCCGTATGCCCAGTCAGTGAACTTCCTGGACAGGCTCCGGAGCCGCTTCTCCTTGATCTCACGACTGAGGATGTACTTCAGGATCTGGGACAAGACGAGGAACAACTGTCAGCTGCAGAACAGGGGCTTGAGGCCAACAGGGCTGGACCAGCCAGAGGCGGGCTGGGCCCAGGAGATACTCCCGCCCAGGATGGGTGGAGACCTGCCTCTGCGCCTGGCGCCATGGCCCCTGGGCCCCGTCTTTATCTGCGGAATGCGCACACAGCTTGCTGTTCTGCCCGTCTCACTGGGGGATGTGAACACAGGGGACAAAAGGTGTGAAGGTTCTTCGCAGGCTGTGGCAAGCTGCACAATCGGCTTGAAACGCCTCCCGCCAGCTGGGGCCCCAGTTCAGTGAAAACTCCAGGCACGGATGATTTTTTAGAAACAGTTTCCGTTTGCTCTGGACTTGAGAAGAAGCCAAAAGTGTTCTCAGCGTCCCCAGCGCACCGTAACCAAGACCCTTCCAGCTGTGGCTCACCACTCTGGCCAGACAGCTGGTGACGAGAAACGCCACGCCCCACAGGGAGGCCCGCGGGACTTCGGTAGGTCAGGGATCCTCAAACTCTGCTGCATGTTGGGGTCGCTGGGAAACTTAGAAATTCCCACAGCATGGGCCAGGTGCCGTGGCTCACGCCTGTAATCCCAGCACTTTGGGAGGCCAAGGAGGAGCGGGTCATTTGAGGTCAGGAATTCGAGACCAGCCTGGCCAACATGGTGAAACCCCATCTCTACTAAAAATACAAAAATCAGCCGGGCGTGGGGGTGCATGCCTGTAATCCCAGCTACTCAGGAGGCTGAGACAGGAGAGTCGCTTGAACCTGGGAGGCGGAGGTTGCCGTGAGCCAAGACTGCGCCACTGCACTCCAGCCTGGGCGATGAAGTGAGACTCTAGTCTCAAAAAAAAAAAAAAAAAATTCCCACAGCGTCAACTAATGAAATCAAAATCTCCAGGGTGGGACCCAGGAGAAGCTTCCTGGCTAGCTCCAAAGTGCAGGCTGGATGCAGAGCCGCTGTCTCTGGCTCCTACTTCCAAAAAGCTGAGCCTTGGGTTACCCCCAGATGAGACATGGGCTTCCTAGGGCACCAACTCAAGACCCAAGAGGAAGGGACTGTTGGGAAGGACAGTGTCAGAGACCTGGCTTCACAAGACCCCGTGGGTTCCCGTCCCGTCTGTCATGACAGCCCAGGCAGAGAGCTTCTAGGGATAAGGCCAGGTCTCTCCGTCCCGCACCCCAGCCTATAAAAGCCCCAGGACGGTGGCCAACCTGGGTAGCATCCAGAAAAGTTTTTTGGAGGACACGGAACAGAGGAGGGAAGCGGGGGACAGGTGCCTCCCCCAGGCCAGCCACAGCGGGCACATTGTCCCCCAGAAAACAAGGGGGTCCTGGGGCCATGCTCCATGTAGGAAGCCCCCTCCCCGGGCTGGGGTGGCAGGGACAGCACCCGCCACAGTGGCACACAGGGAAGATGGCCTTGGAGAAGGCTCCTTCTGCAACCACAAGCTGACTCTTCAAAGCCCCAGCAAGCTGTGACCCTGAGGGGAGGCAGGAGCTGCGGGGAGGCAGACACACAATTCCTCCTCTGTTGAAGCAGTTCTCCATCTCCTCCTCCCCCACAGGCGAATCAAAAGGCCCCTTGTGGGCCCCAGGCCTGACCACTTGGGACAGGACCAAGGCCCTCGGGGCAGCTAACCAGGGAGGCGGGTACCCTGAGGCTGGCACAGCTGCAATTACTCAACAGCCACCACCCCCCAGTGTCCTCTGGTGGCGTCCCAGGAGCCACAGCCTCCTCGCAGAGGAGTGAGACAGTGAGGCTGAGGAACACACTTGGACCCCAGAATCCGTCCCCGAAGAACGTCTCAGACCAAGCCATGACACCGGCCCCTGAAAGAGATCCGAGCCCAGCCCTGCTCAAGTCTTCACCAGGGCTCCCAGCTAAGCCTTGGTTATCTCAGCCACATCACACAAGGCAAGAAGGGCCCAAAGCAGCCACACTCTCGGCTGGGGACACGGCACAGAGTTCCAGCCGGACAAACAGGCTGGGGTCTCTCCATAACTGGGAGATGGCAGCATATTAGCTCTGGGCCCAGAGCAGCCATTCTGGAACTCCCATCCCCGTGAGAAGCAGAAGGCCCCAAGGGCCACCCACTCAGCCCTGCTGGGGCTTCTGTGTCACCTCAGCCTCAGACTCCCCCAGCCTAAGGACAAGAGATGGAAACGCGGCGTATTAGGGACTGAAGTCTAGAGAGTGGGCTGCATCTCACCAGCTCCGCGTGGCCCCTCAGAACAAACCCGCCTCGGGCCGCCAAGCCACTGCATTTCTGGACATAAGTCTGAGACCTTCTCAAGGCTGAGGCTGTGGTCTCTGAATCCCCGATAGGGCCCCTGGCGCTGAGAGAGTGGCAGCTGTGCCTCCTGACCTCCCGACCTCCCGCTTCCCCACGCCCCATGGCCCCACCTCGGCCTTGCCCATCTTGGCAGCCAGCTGCAGCGGCGTGAGGCCGTCGTTGTTGCGAGTGGTCTCCAGCTCCCAGTTGCCACTCCGCAGTAGGATCATGTCGTACATGCGCTTCACAAAGTCGTTCTGCGTCTTGAAGTCCTCGGCCACGGTCACCAGGGCGTGCAGGATGTTGTTGCCCCGCGAGTCCTGCGAGGTGATGTCCGTCTGCTCGTGGTCCATCAGCAGCTGCACAATCTCGGGCTGGTTGGTGCAGGCTGCCAGGGCCAGGGGCGTCTCACCTGGCGGGTGAGCACATTGAAGCTTGGTTCTCTCATGGGCCAGAAGCAGCGTCCCCCAAGACCCAGGACTGGGGCCCGTATCCTATCTCAGCAGGATTGGCAACTCAGGTTCCCTGGTCCTCTCCCCATCTGCCGCTTCTATGGGGAAGAGTGAAGCTAGATCACCGCGGTAGCCTCCTAACTGGCCTCCCTGCCTCCACCCTGGCCTTTTAATCCTCTGCTCAGCACAGCAGCCAGATTGATCTGCTAGTGCCTCTCCCAGAATGAAAGCTCAGGTTCCAACGGCAGCCCACTAAGCCCTGCATCCTCTGACCTCTTCTCCCCATCACTCACTCCCTCCGGCCACAATGGCCTTCTTCCACCTCCTCGTCTATCCCCTCTGCCTGTAGATAGTCGAGTCACTCACTCCCTCACCTCCTTCACGTCCTTGCTCAAACATCACCTTTCAATGAGCCACCCTAAACACTGTTTAAAATTAAAATCCACCCTCCTCTTGCCCCAGACAGAACTCCTCATTCCTTGTCCTCTGCTTTACTTTTTTTTTTTTTTTTTTTTTGAGACAGAGTCCTACTCTGTCGCCAGGCTGGAGTGCAGTGGTGCGATCTCGTCTCACTGCAACCTCCACCTCCTGGGTTCAAGCAATTCTCCTGCCTCAACCTCCCGAGTAGCTGGGACTACAGGCGTGCACCACTACGCCCAGCTACTTTTTGTATTTTTAGTAGAGACGGGGCTTCCCCACGTTGGCCAGGATAGTCTTGAACTCCTGACCTCATGATCTATCTGCCTCGGCCTCCCAAAGTGCTGGCATTACAGGTGTGAGTCACCGCACCCGGTCCACTTTGTATTTTTTAAGAGCACTTATCATTTTGCATCATACTATATAAAATGCTTATTTATAATGCTTGTTACCGATGGTCTCTCCCTGTCTAGAATGTAAGCTCCATGAAGGCAAGGATTTCTGTTTTGTTCACTGATATATTTCAAATACCTAGAACAGTACCTGATATAGATAGTAAGTGCTCAATAAATGCTTGTTAAGAACAAATAAGGCAAGTGACTCACATGAGGTCACACAGCAAGCCTGGGACACGACCAGTCCTGGACACCAGGTCTTCAGCTGCCTCCCCTCTCCTCACCCCACCCAACAAATGCTTCCCAACACCAGCTCCAACCAGGTCCTATGCAGGACAATGAGGGCACACTATGAACTGGACAAGACCCTGTTTTCCAGGACACCCACACCTGGACATCCAGGGCTGCCCAGAGCGCAGACTAGCTAGTCCTGCTGATCAAAAAACCACCCAGAAGGTAATCCCAGCTACTCAGGAGGCTGAGGCATGAGAATCGCTTGAACCCAGGAAGCAGAGGTTGCAGTGAGCCAAGATGGTGCCACTGTGCTCCAGCAGCCTGGGCAACAGAGTGAGACTCCATCTCAAAAAAAAAAACCACCCAGAAGAGAAAACAGATGGGTGATCATCAGTCAGGCAAGACTGGGTGGGAAGAGGGGTCTCCTCTGCCACAAAGTTGCACAGAGAAATTTTTGAGTGTGACGGAGCCATTTGTTCCCTGTCCTGATTGCAGTGGTGGTTAATCAACTCGAGGACGCATTGTGAAAATGAACAGAACTGTCCTCTAAAACGGGTGACTTACACTCTATCTAAATTATGCATTTTATTTTATTTTTTTCCTAGAGCATCCTAACCCCAGTCGCTTCTGGACTCTGTGACTTGTCAGGCAGGGGAACTCTGCCCTCTCACTCTTGACTACCTTTCTGCAGTCCTGAGAAGCACTGGGCCCGGGCACAGAGGTCAGAGCTGGAGGCCAGGACATCTAAGTCAATGCCCTGCTACCCTGGGGCAAGTCCTTTCCCTTCGCAGAGCCTTCTCCTCACCTGTAAAATGGGGCTCCCTCCTCAGACTCCCTCCCAGGTCTCTGTTCCCTCAGAGGGCTGCCCAGGACGATGCTTCTAAGACCACCAGATGACACCCCGGAACATGGACTCCTCCCCAAACACCTCCTCCCAGCCCCTCCTTCTCTGGTCCACCCTGGTGTCCTGCTCAGACGGACATGCCCAGCCTCCTCCCCTCCCAGCTCTGTCCTCTGGGGCACCAGAGCCTCTTAAGGCAGGGGCAGTGAGGGTAGAGGTCAGAGCGAGGTGGCCCCTCCCTTCCTCCCTCCTTCCTTTCTTTCTCTCCCTCCTCCCTCCTTCCTCCCTCTCCTCCCTCCTTCTCCCCCTCTCCCTTCCTCCCTCTCCCTCCTCCCTCCTTCCCCCTCCTCCCTTCCTCCTTCCCTCTTCCTTCCTCCCTCCCTCTCACTCCTCCCTCTCCCTCCTCCTCCCTTCCTCCCTCCTTGCTGCTTCCCTCTTCCTTTCTCCCTCTTCCTCCTCCCTCTCCCTCCTCCCTCCCTTCCTCCTTCCCTCTTCCTTCCTTCTTCCCTCTTCCTTCCTTCTTCCTCCCTCTCCCTCCTCCCACTCCCTCTCCCTCCTCCTCCCTTCCTCCCTCCTTCCTGCTTTCCTCTTTCTTCCTCCCTCTCCCTCCTCCCTTCCTTCCTCTCCCTCCTCCCTTCCTTCCTCCTTCGTCCTTTCCTCTTCCTTCCCCCCTCCTCCCTCTTTCCTTCCTCCCTCCTCCCCCACTTCCTCTCCCTCCTCCCTCCTCCCTCCTCCCAGACTCCGCGCCAGGCGGGGGCGGCACCCACCGAAGTAGAAGCCTTCGTGCTGGTACTTGGGGTTGAAGAAGGCGCCCTTGGCGTGGGCGTTGACGTCGGCGCCGGCGGCGATGAGCACGGCCGCGATGTCCCCCTGGCGCCGCTCGATGGCGATGTTCAGCGCCGTCTGCCCTGCGGACCGGGCCGGGACGCGCGGAGCCTCAGCGCCGGGAACCAGGGCCTCTTGCCTTCCCCCCGTCTCTGGCCTCCATACCCTCCCCGAACCCATGGGGACATCAGAGCTCCGGTCTGTGTCGCCGGCTACCAGGAATCCCAGCCTCATTCTTTGCTTCCTTCCTGCCCGCGCGGACCCGAGGAATGTTTGTGGAGCGCCTGCTCCGCGCTCCGGCCCCAGGTGAGGGGGTCAGGGGTGCACAAGATGCAACTTGGATTATTTTCCTCAAGAAGCCCGCAGTGTCACTGAGACCCAGGCGCTACGATTCAGAGGGGTGCCGGAGCTGCGGTACCCGGGGGGCCCTTCACAGCCAGAGAGCGCCGGGGGGCTTCCCGGAGCTCTCTGACCTGGGACCTCAGAAGTTTGGCCAGGCTGGGTGGGGCCAGCTCATCAGCCAGGGTGAGAGGGCAGAGCTTATGCTAAGGGCCAGAGTCACAGAAGGCCTTGAATTAGGAAACTGGCATGATGAGACTTTGGTGTTTGGTGCATGGGTGTTTTCAGACCCCTCTGGCTGCATAATTGGAGGATGTGTTAGAAGCAGCCCAGACCAGTGAAAGAAATAATGAGGCCTGTAATCCCAGCACACTGGGAGGCCAAAGCAGGTGGATCACCTGAGGCCAGGAGTTCAAGACCAGCCTGACCAACATGGTGAAACCCCGGTCGCTACTAAAAATACAAAATTAGCCGGGCGTGGGGGCGATGCCTGTAATCCCAGCTACTCGGGAGGCTGAGGCAGAAGAATCACTTGAAGCTGGGAGGCGGAGGTTGCAGTGAGCCCAGATCACACCAATGCACTCCAGCCTGGGCAAGAAGAGTGAAACTCCATCTCAAAAAAAAAAACGAGGCCTGGACTAAGGGGAGGTGGAGGGCACAAGAAGGGTGGAGAAAGGAGGAAGCCCAAAGACCCTCAGGAGAAAGAGCCTTCAGGATGCCCAGCTGGGGAGAAAGGGGTCTCAGGTAAGATCTAGGTATCTGGCCCTGGTGGTGGGTGAACGATACGCTGGTGACACAGCAAGAGGAAAGAAGGGCAGAGGAAGGGACACTAAGCCTGCTGGAGACCAGAGAACTTCCAGATGGAAGGGACCAGAAGGCTGGAGCGGGAGAGGGTCTCAAAATGCACCAACAGAAACAGCATTTTCCAAAGAGCTGCCACCATGCCATGAACAAAAATAGTGTTGGTGGATTAAATAACTAAGCTTTAAAACAAATTAGAAAGTTGGTTTATAGCTAACCTTTTGGTCGGGAAGACCTTCTTAAGCAAGATCCAAAAGGCAGAAACGGTAAAGAAAAGGCTGACATCTTTGTTTACATAAAGGTTTTTGGTTTTGGGGTTTTTTGGTTTTTTGTTTGTTTGTTTGTTTGTTTGTTTGACACGGGATCTTGCTGTGTCACCTAGGCTGGAGTGCAGTGGTGTGAGCATAGCTCACTGCAACCTTGAACTCCTGGGCTCAAGCGATCCTCCGGCCTCAACCTCCCAAAAGCTAGACTTTCATATTTTGCATAAGAAATGCTCTAAGACATACAGTTAATCAAAAAAAGCAACTTGTAGACTACAGACATGATGGTACTGTTTTATGTTAAATAATTAAGTAAATAAAACTATTTCTGTGTACATATATACACACACGTGTGTGGACTACAGGCCTGCACCACCGCTCCTGGCTTATTTTTAAAATTTTTTATAGAGACAGGATCTTGCCGTGTTGCCCAGGCTGGTCTTGAATTCCTGGGCTCAAGCAATCCCCCTACCTCAGAGATATCTGTATTCCTGAATGCATCCTAATGAAAGTTAAAGACAAGTGATAGGCTGGGGAAAATATTTGAGATATATAAAAAGGCAATGTGTTTTTGGACCGGGCACGGTGGCTCACACCTGTAATCCCAGCACCTTGGGAGGTTGAGGCGGGTGGACCACTTGAGGTCAGGAGTTCGAGACCAGCCTGGCCCACATGGCAAAACCCCATCTCCACTGAAAACACAAAACAATTAGCCGAGTGTGGTGGTGCACGCCTGTAGTCCCAGCTACTTGGGAGGTTGAAGCAGAAGAATCACTTGAACTCAGGAGGTGGAGATTGCGCCACTGCACTCCAGCTTGGGCTAGAGAGCGAGACTCTGTCCTAAAAAAAAAAAAAAGGCAGCCAGGCACGGTGGCTCACGCCTGTAATCCCTGCACTTTGGGAGGCTGAGATGGGCGGATCACGAGGTCAGGAGATCGAGACCATCCTGGCTA